TAAGCAAACGTGCATTACACGTTACTTAAACCTAGTATGTATATATATATATATGTATGTATATCTATATACATATATAGATTAAGACCCTGTTTGGTCCACATTATTTTTTTCATTCTCATTTTTCTACTCATTTTCAATCACACATTTTTCAATAAAATAATATTTTTCATAACATCAATAATTTTTCTTTCTTTTTCAACAACATATTCCACATCACATCAACGGTAAAAATGCATTCTTACCTTCAAAATGTGCACCAAACGGGGGCTAAATTTCAATGTGCTCGTCGTTGGTAGCATTAAGAGCAGCGTCGCCTTTTAAGCATTAAATTGGGCAACGACTAGGTAAAAAAATTGAGCTTAATCTTTTTTCTTTTTTCAATTTACAAAATTGGATTAAATTTGTGTTTCCTTATAAAATTTGTATAAAAAGATGTAGCTTAATCTACTTTTCTCTCAACTCACTTTGAAAATATATTTTTAACTTGTTATAAAAGAAATATGTTTTCATATGTAAAAGAAGTAACATCCTACTATAATAAAAAAGACAGTTTTGAATACTGTAGATACAACAGTAACCAATGAGATATTACTATTTATTTCCCAGATCTTCATGCCCTCGATCCTGTAGTTTTATATCACATTTTTTTTCCCCAATCTGCTTTTTTGGTGCATTTGGATCTACTATTACTGCTGAAATGAAATTTCGTACAGTTGATGGCTTTCAAGGCCAGAAAGTTGATATCCTGCCACTTTCAACAGTTAGAGCAGCTGGATCTAAAGCACCCAGGATTAACTCTGGTAATCTTGGATTTGTTACTGATGTTAGACGGATGAATGTTTCCGGCCAAACTTTCTTTATGGATTTTGGGTAATTCAAGAACATTACAGATGAATCAGATCTGGACATCTCTTGTCAAAGATGCAAAACAGAGAAATTTAATTATATCAGGAACAAGGCCATATAGTTCCATGTTTAAGTTTGCTTCAGAAAATGGACTAGCTTTAGGTAATTCTGCGAACAAATCAAGTATGTCCAGGAATGTTGAAAAGTTTGAAGCAGCAAATCAACATGTAGAGATGCAAAAAAAGATTGTGAAACATACTTCTGAAAGGAAAAAAAAAATTGGCACTGAAAACACAAGATGGATAATAAAAAAGAATAATTACAATATAAAGAAAAGAAAATGATTGTTCACATGTGAGATCGGAGATGTTAACATGATGAATCTTAATTGTTAGCACTCTCATAATTAATTTTAAAAAAAAATTATCTACTCACTGTGTCTCCACACGGAGACATGGTGTCTCCGTGCAGAGACACTCTCCATGTCTCCGCGGTGCAGAGACATGTCTCCGCACAAGAATATTTTATTTTTTTTAACTTTGGATACAAGTCTTCGTCTTTTTTTTTTTTTTCCAAATTGACTTTTCTTTTTCTTATTATTAAATTTAGGCGATCCACATTTTACACAAACTAAATAAAATTAAATTTGTAATGTACTGTTTGTATTTATTATAGTAGGATAAGTTGAAATTTAAGTTAGATTTGCTTATAAATTAATTATATCTCTTCAGCACATATATGAAAATTAGAATTCCTTTCGGGGGCGTTGCTCTCGCTGTCCCCTCATCTCCCGTGACCTGACTGGGTAGGTCAATCCTCGTTTTGAAGCGGCAAACCATTTTCATAATAACAATAAACAAATAAATAAATTATGAAAAAATATATAAACTAATAGTTTTCTGCTAAATTTATTTTATTAGAATCTTGACCTGAATTTAAAACTGTTGAGACGGCTTATCAAGGACGACTGCACCCTTATTTCAAAGGAATATGCAACTCTAGATTTCGGCTTTGAAAACGAATGTACTCACAAGATAATGTTGCAAAGATGCATAAAAGAAGGAAGTACAAGTACACATTCACTTGTGCAAATCATGGATGAGTATTTAAACTATTTATTGTTTACTATAATATTTCATTTTCTGCTTACTAATTGAAAGCATGTTTAGCTAAGGTTTAAAAAGTTTTTTGTGCTAGATAAGCTTAGATATACTATTTTTTCTAGCATATCGTTCAAAAAGTTAAGTTACTTATAGTTGAGCTTAGCAAAAAAAGTTGTTAACAACTTTTTATTAATTACAACTTTTAAAACTATTCATTTTATTTATATTTTACATATTTGTTTTTTAAATTCTAATTTAGTTATAAGTTGACATTCTTACTTCGTAGCCATGTGACCATTATCACATGTGCCTTCTCATTCTAGAAAAGGAGTGGTTTTCAGTTGCATGCTAAAACCGCTGCTTAATCTGCTGAATAAATATTTAAGCGCAGGAAGGCTGATTTTGTAGATACCAAAAAAGTGAAATATAGTCTGAAATATTCGACAAATTTGCTAAAAATATACTTTCTTCAAAGGTTTTCCTTTTCATTTTCATAATGTGTATAGTTTCTAATCTTGTCAATTTATATACAGAGTTGACTATTATGGCAGAAACAAAACTGTCTGAGTCACAAAATGTGATAGAGAATGATAACAGGTTAGTTAATTATTTTTCCTAATGCGCTAAAGCTTAGTTCTCATAAGTTGTTTTGTTCATTCTATATTGTGTGCTCTTATTTTGCTTCATTTTCTAATATTTAGCTGTATAATTTTTCATTTTCAGTACTTTTTTATTCCTTTTTCCATGTATTTATGTTGGGGAATTGGATTTTATTGATATCGTTGTTTTTCTTTTATTTCAATGTTGTTTGGTA